GAGGACAGGGATGCAGCCAGGAGGACATGGGGACATGGAGAATGGACATGGGGACATGGGGACACAGGGGACTGTGTCCAGGAGGACATGGGGACATGACTGGGAGGGTGTGGGGACTGGGGAATGAGCATGGGGACATGAGGACACAGGGACACCGGGGACTGGGACAGGGATGCAGCCAGGAGGACACAGGGACATGGGGAATGGGCCTGGGGACACGACCAGGAGTGTGTGGGGACACAGGGGACACAGGGACATGGCAGGGAGGCCATGGGGAGATGGCAGGGCACGAGGACATGGAGGGGAGGACTTGGGGACACAGAGGACAGAGACAGGGATGCGTCCAGGAGGACACGGGGACATGGGGAATGGGCCTGGGGACACGACCAGGAGTGTGTGGGGACACAGGGGACACGGGGACATGGTGGGGGGGACATCAGCGTGCACAGGGACACAGTGGGACCAGCGTGGGGATGTGGCAGGGAGGACACGGGGACACAGGGACATGGCAGGGTGGCAGGGCATGAGGACATGGAGGGGAGGACTTGGGGACACAGAGGACAGGGACAGGGGTGTGTCCAGGAGGACACGGGGACACGGGAAACGGGCATGGGGACACGGAGGACACAGGGACGTGGTGGGGAGGGCATGGGGACGTGGCAGGGGGACACAGGGACATGGAGAGGTGGGCACGGGGACATAGGGACATGGCAGGGAGGGCACGGGACATGGGTGGCAATGGGGAAACACTGGGACTGGCATGGGGACACAGCAGGGGGGGCGTGGGGACACAGGGAATGGCCTTGGGGACACGGCAGGGAGGACTCTGGGGACACGGTGTCCCCTTGGGCTCACCTCTACGGCCTCAGCGAACTGCATCTGGTAGACGAGGAAGGTGACAAGGTCCCCGGTGGTGATGGTCCCCGCGGCCACCAGCTGTCCCCCATAGCAGAGGAGCCCCAACTTCAGGGCCAGCGCTGAGAACTGGGGACACAGCAGGGAGGTCACCGCGGGGGGACACCGCTGGGGAGGGTCCCCGTCTCCCTCCCTGCCGCAGCCACCTCTCCCCAGGGACACTGAGGTCCCAGCCCTGGGATATGTCCCCATGTCCCCTAATCCCTGTGTCGTCACAGCCCCTGGCCGCGTGCCACCTCGCCCCTGCGTCCCCCAGACCCGTGCCATCACGTCCCCATGTCCCCCAGCCCCATGCCACCATGTCCCCATGTCCCCCACCCTGTGCCACCCCACCCCCATGTCCCTTAGCCCCATGCCACCATGTCCCCATGTCCCCCACCCCTGTGCCACCCCATCCTCATGTCCCCCAGCCCCATGCCAC